GCAACCTGGGCTGGTGGAAGGTGTCCCTGCCCATGGCAGGGGGTGGAATGAGACCAGCTTTAAGGTCCCTTCCAATCCAAACCATTCTGGAATTCTATGCAGGAAGCCCCACTGGCATCAGGTGGTACAGACAAGAGGGGACTTGCTTAGTCATGCTAAAAAAATTTATAGTAAGAATTCTACAACTGCCTAAATTACACCCACAAATCTCACACACGTGCTTTGTTACCAGAAAAAAAAAAAAAAGAATTACCACTCCCTCGACTTTCTGTGGATCCGTTTTTGCTCCTGAAAGGAAGCACTGTGGTGGCTGCTGCAAATAACTGGAGCAAAGCAAATTTCCTTTGCTTTTGCTGATTCAGGCAGAAGCTGAGGTGATAAGTACTTAGGAAACTATGGGAGCACTAAGTTATTGTTAGAGATAAGGAGGAAATTATGGGTTAAACGGGGGGGTTTTGTGCTTTTTAGGGAGGAACGAAGCCAGTGAAGCCGTGCCGGCTGTATGGAGCCAGTGGATCACAAACCACGATCAGACACTCAGCAATTCATGCAAAATCTAAACGCAACCCTTCCTCTCCATTCCTGTTTTAACTGTTCCATGTTCTCCTTCCCTTTTCCCCGGTGCCTGCAGAGACCTCTTCTCTCCTCTTCCCAGCTCGTGCCCCCCTCCCCTGACACAACCTACCTGTGATCCGTAACACCGTGTAACACCGGCACCCGTGTCCTGTGCTCTCCTCCGGGCAGGAATTCCGGGAGAGCATCCCTGTCTGCTCTGGAAAACCGGGCTGCTAATTAGCACGTGGGTTCCCTGCAAGAAGCCCAAAGGCTTGAATTATTCTAAAAAGTTGCAACAGCACCCCCGAAGTATCCAACTTAACTATTTTATTTTTTTTTAAAGCAGCTATTTGTTACTAACAGGCACACACCAAAGTAATTCCTCCCCCAGAGGTGAATCTCTAACCCACTTACTGGGACTAATTTGAGCGCCAGACCCACCTGATGCCACAGCTGATCCCGCTGTGGCTGCCCGTCAGTGCTGGGCTGCTGGGTGCACCCGTGATTTCTATTCATTACGTGTTATTCATGTAGTACTAGGTAGTTTTTAATGTATTATTCGAGTAGCTTGCCTTGTTTCCCACTTGGAACTACGAGACCTTACTACTGAACTTTCCAGCCAGGACAGGCTTCCAGCGCTCTATTTAACCCCCGTATTTAACACGCGGTTACACTGGGCTCAGCCGGGCTGCTGCTCACACGTGGCTGTTGGTTATTTATTTACCTGCGGGCGGCACACGCTGTCCGCGGCCTGGGGGCTCTCCCTGTGTGAGGGGCGTGAGCAGCCCCGGCCCCGCCCGCCCGCCCTCCTTCCTCCCAACGCGGCTGCTGCTCCAGCCCCCGGGGAAGGCTCCTCCGGGCACCGCCTGCGTCTCAGCCGCTGCCGGAAAGCCCCGACCGGGCCGTCCCCCCGGAGCTCGGGCCGCCCCTCGGAGCCGCCACTCGGAGCCGGGCCCGCTCCTCCGAGCCGCCCCTCGGAGCCGCCCCTCAGCTCTAACGGCCGCGGAGCCCGCCTTCAGCGCGGGTCGAACCACCGCGCCGGAACGGGGGGAGCCTCGGCATGGACCCTTCCTGCCCCGCCTGTTCCAATGGCGCCCCTCCAGGGGGTCCTTTCCAAACACCCCTCTGACTCTGCGCAATGGTCGCGGCTCCATGACGCGCGCGCGCGCGCGGCCGCGCTCGAATCTGAGCGCGGGGCCGCTTTGGGGGGGCGGGACTGACCCGGGACCTCCGTGAGGGGACGGGGCTGACCCGGGATCCGCCTGAGGGGACGGGACTGACCCGGGATCGCCGTGAGGGACCCACCGTGAGGGGGCAGGACTAACCCACGATCGCCGCGAGGGGACAGGACTGACCCACGGTCGTCGCGAGGGGACCCGGAGGACCCGGGCCATGATCGCCGCCTCCGGCCGCCGCCGCGCCCGGGACGAGCCCCCGGTGCGCTCGGTGCCGCTGAGCAGCGTCCCCGCGGGCACGCTGACGCCGCTGAAGGAGCTCCTGCAGGCCCAGGGCGCTGTCCCGGCCGGGCAGGGCCCGCCGCCCGCGGGGCCGTGGCGGGGGGCGCGGGATGTCCCGCACGGCCGGGCCGGGCCCGCGGCAGAGCGGCCGCCGAAGCGCCGCGCCCCGGAGCCGCCCGGGCAGGAGACGCCGGCCAAGATCTTCCAGCGGATGAAGGAGCGGGCGGAGCGGCAGCGGGGCCGCGGGGGCGGCACCGACGGGATCCTGACCCGCGGCACCGGGCAGGGCCGCACCGGCCCCGACGGGATCTTCCTGACCCCCGGCACTGGGCAGGGCCGCACCAGGCACAGCCGTGCCACCGACGGGATCCTTCTGACCCCCAGCACCGGGCAGAGCCAGGGCACCGACGGGATCCTGGCCCCCAGCACCGGGCAGGGCCGCGGCACCATCGACGTAATCCTGACCCCCAGCACCGGGCAGAGCCAGGGCACCGACACCAACAGGATCCTGACACGCAGCGCCGGGCACAGCCGTGCCACCGACGGGATCCTGACCCCCAGCACCGGGCAGAGCCAGGGCACCGACACCAACAGGATCCTGACACGCAGCGCCGGGCACAGCCGTGCCACCGACGGGATCCTGACCCCCAGCACCGGGCAGAGCCAGGGCACCAACACCATCAGGATCCTGACCCGCGGCACCGGGCAGAGCTGTGCCACCGACGAGATCCTGACCCCTGGCACCGGGCAGAGCCAGGGCACCAACACCAACAGGATC